ATCCCTGTCCAGGGATCTGGCACCCGCATGGCACAGAAGTCACAAAATCATAGAATGGCTTGGGTTGGAAAGGACCTCAAAGATCATGAGGTTCCAATCCCCTTGCTGCAGGCAGGGTTGCCAACTGCTCGGTCAGGTGTTCAGTGCTTCTTGATGCCTCTACCCCTGCCAAGTATCTGTGGACAACATGAACTGGGCTGCTATCAGTGCTCCCAGTGACACTCACCTTCTGTCCTTCCAACCTCTCTTCACACAGACTATTTCTTGTTACATACAGTTTGTTCTTCCTACCACCTGGGAGGTACAGTACAGTTGGCCCTTTGCTCTCACAGTGCTAAAAGCCAAAACTTTGTTCTAAGCTTGCATTACCTAAATTTGCAACAACTCAGGGAGGGTGAGCACAGATCTGTTCACAGCATTTTCCCAATCTTTACTCTGGCAAGCACATCTGTGTGGTTTTATCTTTCCACTCCTTTGCCTTATTAATTGCATCAGTTATAGGAGTCTGAATTTTCAAGGCTTCTTTGGCCTGTCCTTTGTCATCGCTAATTCTCATATCTGCCCTACACCATCCTCTACTGGCATGATTTTCAAACAAGCACCTTCGTGTTTCCTGGTGGACACCTAGAGACTGTCTGCAAAGTGCTTTCATCACCCTCCTTTGAACAGGCCTTTGGTGCAGGATCCCCTTTGGTAGATGCTGAGGTGCTGATGGATGTATCTCACGGCCATCATGCTGATGGACACCAATTCATCCTTCCACAGTCATCTATCACACCTAAAACTTTTCTTCCTTAGGTTGGAAACATTTGAGATCACTTTTTATTCTGTTTTTACAGTGAAGTCCTAATCAGGGCTGGGACTCTCTCAAGAGCTGAAGGAATTCAGGTGATGAATAGGATAATAGTAATTTGAAGCTGACCACTTTTATCTTGCTTGGTGATGAGGATAAAAGTCAGCCAGGCTCTGGAGCCAGTATGCTGAGATGTGACCAAGCCTCATTCACAAGGTATTAATTCCTGCTATTTGCCACCAAAAAAAAGTTTTGAATGCCATTTACTTCCTTTCATTGAAACATATTGCTGTGAGACACATTTATCCAGATCTCAGTTTTGCCTGGCAATAGTATTTGCTTGTGAATCACTTCTGAGAAGGGCTTTTCTCTGTTATTTTGCATTGCAAAGAAAAGTGATTTTGTGGCAGGATCCCCTTGGCTGCCTAGACAGGACAGATTGTATTTTTTTCTAAATTACTGTTTAGAAATCCAAAGACGTTCTCTGCTATTTGCTGGTGTGTGAAAAGGCATGCTAAGCAACACTTGGGGGTTAATTTTCATGACCCTGACTCTACCTCTCAACAAGATAGATTACATTTTCAATTCTATTCCTCGGTGTATAAGAGTGAATCATTTTGTAGAAAATGAGAATTGATCCAAATCTTCACCCTAAAGTCAAACTGCAGCTTTATTGACCAGAGAAGAAAAAAATAAAAGAAAAAGAAGAAAAAAGGATGCATTTCTTTAGAATACAGCATCCCCCTTGATATCCCTGGTGCCAAAACACCACCTAGAGAGGGGCAGGCCATGCCTGGAGAGACAAAGCTCAGCAAAACCTTCACCTCTTCTCCTTGCAACTTCTTGTCTCATTGTCTTCCTGCCTTCCTATCCATTTGAGCATCAGTCAGAGACTGTGTGGCCCAGTGAAGACAAAAGGCCAATGGGATATTCCAAGGTGCCCATGGGAGCTGAAAGTCCCACTGAAAGAGCCACTGAAAAACCACAGGAGCTGGTGGCCGCACTGTCCTTCATGAGCAATGTCCCATGGGGACCAACTGTTGATCTCCTTCTTCTCTGGAGAAAATATACAAAAACAAACCAAAACAAAAAAAAAAAAAAAACACCAAAATGTTCCCAACCTTTACATTGATTTTGAAAATGTGAACCTACACGGTGAAACAAGCCTACACAGCTCCCTAGCTTAAGACACCAAAGTAAAGCCTAAAGCCCTGGGTTTTACTTCCTGTAGGGTTAAATACTTGTGCTCACCCCTGGCCATGAACATTGAGTTGACCTTGAGTGTCTCCAACGACAGTGAATCCTTGCTGAAAACCAAGTAGTTTTCACACAGCTTAGGCTTTCCAGGTCACTGCTATCCTCTACTTCTCACAAAGTCTTGTGTTTTCCAAAGTTTTTTCCTGATTGGGTTGGCACTACCAGTGCTGAACAGAGCATGCCAGTGTTTCACTGTTCTGCCAGGCTTGAAGAATACCGTCTTATCATCCTGCTTCACAGGAAAGGAAAAAGCCTGCAACCAACAAATCGCATGGATGAGATCAAAGCCTTTCTCCAGGAGGCAGAGGGCAGTGTTTGCACACACATAGTTATTACAAGACAAGCGGGTCAAGTTTGTCCCTGCTGTTCTCCCCACTGGAGTGAAGGTGGTGGCACGCTGGGTTTGAGGAAGATGACTGTTGGATTTATATCTGGGCATGTATAACTGTGTTCAGAGAACCTCACTGAGGTGTTTGCCTGTTCCAAAAAAAAAAAACAAAGCACTACAGCTGGTCTGAAAGCATGGGGAGTGCTGCTCCTCCCTGGGGTCAGAGGTGGGAAGGACTCCTGGGCGGTGGGATTTTTTTCCTGCTGTGGAAATTGCCTGCACCTGAACATGAATTTCATGGATCACAAACCTAGTGTGTGATTTTGTCTCCACAGCAGTCAGCAGTTTGCAAGTTTAACTCTTTGGTCCCGTGCCAGAGGCACCCAAGGGATAGGAGAGGGGGAAAGGTTAACCTCCACCCTATTCTGTTTGTTGCACAAACTCTTGTTTTAATATTAGTGGTGGGAATAATGTATGAGGACAGTATTTTTTTTTTACACCCTCTGCACTGAGCAGAAAAGGGGTAATGTGCCTATGTGCACCTGTGTATTTGTACCCTCCTGCTGTTTTTCCAGCCAGCAGATGGAATCCAATTTCCCCCCTGCCTTCTCCATCCACACCACCTTGTAACAAACTTTAACGCTGCTGTGTGCCTTAAAGATGAGTAAAGACACAGAGCAGAGCACTCACAGCCCGGAACATCCATTTGGCAGCATGGTGTATGCCTGATCCCATCACTGTCATTGCCTCAATCAGCTGATTCCCCTTGCTACTGGCTCCTGCTCCTCCCCCCCAGAAACTGAAGGCTGTTCCAGGATCACAGCCAAACTAGGGGAAAGACTGGCCATCGAGATGACCCCTCTGGAGATGCTGCCTCTAAAGGAAAACATGCTGGAGAGCTGAATTAAAACTTTTTCCAAGCCAAACTAAGTTTGCATTTACAAATTGGGCTGCTTTAGAAAAACTAATCCATTTCACATTTTCCTGCTGGTGCTCCCAGGAGGGAAGTATCTGAAGCCCCGTTCCTACAGGAAGAATCATAGAATCATCTAAGTTGGAAAAGCCTTTCAAGATCATCAGATCCAGCCACTGACCAGGAAGCTGTGCTAAGGCACATGGAAGACAGGGAGGTGATAGTGGTCGATCAGCAAAGCTTCACCAAGGGCAGGTCCTACCTGACCAACCTAATGGCCTTCTATGGTGTCAAAGCTGCATCAGTGGAGAAGGGAAGAGCTGCTGATGTCACAGAACCTTGTGACCCACTCAAAGGATACTATAATTCTATGATTCTACTGAGTGCCATCACTAAATACATATTTCTGTGATGCATTCTCTGATGAACACATCCCTTAAATTCCTCCAGGAATGGTGACTCTACTAACTTCCTGGGCAGCCTGTTCCAATTCCTGACCAATCTCTCCAAGAAGAAATTCTTTCTGATATCCAATCTAAACCTCCCTTGTTTCCTCATGTCCTATCTCTTGTCACATTGGTTTACATCTACAGAGACAATTATAGTTTGTATTCATCTTTACACAGCGTACGTAACATTCTCCTTAGCTGCTCTTTTATGTCACCTGCAGCCTCCGTGACAAGCAGTATCCTTCCCTCTATGGTGGCAGCTGGACTTCATGTTATGGCAAAAACAGTGAGATTATTCTGCCACTGAACACCAACCATCCCCTGATTCAATTTATCCTTACTTCAGCTTCATTGTGCCACTGGAGCTGTACCAGTTAATTTATCCTGCACTGTTTAGGAGTCCTTGAGAGTTTATGGCAGCAGAGAGATACCCTATATGCCAGCTGTACACTTCAAGAGCTATTGGAAAGTCCAGCATACTTTTAGTCTGGCTCTGAACTGAAGGGACTGTAGTAGGAGAATGCTGCATTGGTGATATTTAAAAAGATGTGTAACACAGCCATGTCTTACTGGTTGTTAAATCACACACTTGAGAAATGCCTCATTAGCTTTGAGATAACATTTCTTATCCATCAGAGACATGGCGTTGCTCTCATTTAAGTGACAGAATTACTGTTCTCCATTTTGAGACACATAACTATCAGATATCCAGAGATCCTTGAGTCACTTCCATTGACGACAGAAACTGATGATAATCAGGTATTTCTGTGATGCATTGTCCAATGCACACTGAACGTGCTGGTATTCTCAGCTCTTTTGCAACCAAAATATGGATACTCCTACTCCAAGCTCTCTATAGCCAACACTTCAATCTTCATCTGTTACTTTTTACTGTGAATCCTTCTAGACTCTTCACTATGAGCGTGGTGAGGCCCTGGCCAGGCTGCCCAGAGAAGCTGTAGATGCCCCATTCCTGGAGGTGATCAAGGCCAGGTTGGATGAGGCTCTGGACAGTGGGAGGTGTCCCTACCTACAGCAAGGGGTTGGAACTAGATGGGCTTGAGGCCCCTTCCACCCCAAACCATTCTATGATTCCATGAACTCCTCTCCAAAATTATGTCACTGTAGCAGAAACGCTAAGTCATGGCTTCAAACAGTGACTGAGCACCTGGTGGGAAGGCAGGGCCAAGCCAGGTGAGCTCAGGTGCATGTAATGCACCTGAGTGACTGGAAGGGCTGGAGGCAGGATCCACCCCTTCCCAGACCACATTTAAGGGTAAGCCAGTGGAGAGGAGAGTATTTTGCTGGAGATCTCTGCTTACTTGAGGCTTTCAAAAGGTAAGTGGAGTCTGTCTGTTTTTTCTGTGCCTGCAGCTGTTGCATTTGAGTAAGTCCTCACTTGCTGCAGCCTAGGACCTTGCTGCTCTGCTATCACTGCTGCACTTTCCATTACGTTGCAGTCACCTTCACATCTATTTGGATGTTCCATAGTAATAGCTCAGAATACAGACTTGAGCCCAGTCACTCTGTGCCTAGATATTCACTTGTTCAGGTAGCACTCTCCCACAATTCATCTACCTTAGGGTTTCTACTTTCCCTTCTTCCAGGGTTGTGGAAGCACTTGTTGTCTTTGATTTTAAGCATTTCATCATTTTAGTTGTCTTGCTATGCAATTACTTTAGCAAAACTAAAAAATCCTTGAAGCCCTCTGTAAGCATTTGGAGAGGGTTGAAGACAGGGAGAGCCTTGCTGTAGGGTTTTGCTGTAAATCAGGGAGGGGATAAGTGGCGTGTTCTCAGGACAAAAGCAGTATTTTGAAAAGTACCAATCATGCCAATGGGAGGCTTGAGAGGGATCAGTGAGGTAGGAATGGAGATCAAACATCTTGGAGGTGTTGGAAGACCTGAGAACAAATGAATTGACTGCTCCTTCTCCACTGGCATTTTCTGAAGAGAAGAAGGAGAGAAGGGGGTAGAAGCTGATAGTGGTGGCTGGGGTTTGTCCATGCTGATTTATATTCCTTCTCTATTCTACAGTGCCTGTAGAAAACAATCCAGGTAGGAAGCAAACAAGGGACAACAATGAAGAACAACAGGACCACTCATCCCAGACTCCTCTGCCATCCCCTAAACAGGCAGTTTGCTTCTTTAGGTAAGTGCTTGTTTAAAGCTTGTCAGTATTTCTGATCCATTGTGCTTTCTGTTTTAAGTGCCTCAAAGCTCTAGCAAAGCTTCAGGTGAGGTAATTCTGGAGGAATAAGTCAATTTTAAAGAACATCCCCTACTTATTTTGTGCATCTGTAACATCTGACCCAGTGCTCATACCAGGACACACCAACTTTGAAGCAAACTATCTCCATTCTTGGCTCCGTGTCTCCAGGGATGTTCTATGCCAATATCTGTGTTGTGTGTATTTGCATCTGCTCAATAAGGACAATAGCTTTTGTTGTTGATGTTGTATAAATAAGGCAGATTTCAACATGCAGTCTTCTGTATTTAAAATATGATGGCACATCATAAATAAGGCATTATACCTCCCAGAAGGCATTTGGAAGTATTTTATTAGGTGTCACAAGTGTACTCCATGTTGCAGCCACTGTCCAGAACTATAATTCAGTTACACACTAAGTAGCCACTAACGAGGGATGCTATTATGGAGAGACAATGCCATGCAACTACACTGCAGAAAAACTGGAGTGATTCCAGTGAAATCAGTGCAAGCAAATGGATTTGCCCCTATAAAATGAAAAGCAAAGTCAATTTAATCAAAGTTTTGGAAGATGATTGTGAGCTTTGTGAAGTGAAGCGTGATGAAATCCTAAATTCTTTTCTGCACTTCTCTGTTCTCCTCTCTCATCTGTCACTCACATATTGAGTATCCTGACAGCTCTGCCTGACGATTAATGCTCCTATTCTGTGGGTTTGCATAGTGCCTCCTGAGTACTTAACAGGTCTTAGAGAGTTCAGTTCACTAAGCTCTCAGATTGTCTGACAGTCCCCAATGGCTTAATAATGTAAAATCATAAACTGGACTGCAACTGATTCCTCTTCTGTCTATCCTTTTATCAAGGACTGCTATGCAGGATCTGGAGGACAGAAAAATAATTAGATGTGTGCTGAGTGGGATTTCCCTTTAGTAAGCACAGTTCTGACCTCTAGCTCAAGATATAACTGGGGATTTGGAGGAGATGGATTTTCTGGAGATAATAGCCCTTCCTTTACTACAGGATGAAGTTCATAAAACAGCTTTTTATGCACACAAATTTCTAGTCTTTTTCCTAAGATACTGCTTACTTAGATATAGCACTTTCAACTTTGTTCTAAGGGTATGTGTTTTCATAGCATATAATTTGGGATGCAATGTCTGCATGATGTAACCTAAAAATGCCTTCATCCTCCTTAAAATCTGTATTATTCAACCAGCTTCAAGCTGATAGATTTATTCTTAGCCCAGAATGACATTATCTCCCATAGTAGGCTAAGAGACTTGTTTCTGATCTTTGCTGATTAATAGTGTGTGTTTCCAGAGGCCAAGCTTGCTGTGCATGGGAGGGTAGGTCTGTCCATGAGAGTGTGTGTGTGTGTGTGTGTGTGTGTGTGTGTG